ACTTTGTGATACTTTATGAATGCCCTTGCGTCTACAAATGTGGGATACTTATACTTACAAACTCGGCAATTGTGAGCCGAAAGCCTTGTAGTAGACATCTCAGGATTGGTTGTTATATAAGGATATTTATATCTGGCTTGGAGTGTGGCTTACACGTAGACAGACGGTTTAAGATACACTCGTGGATTATGCTTGTGGATTAATGAGCGTGTCTTCTAAAAATATTTAAGCGGTATCCAGTATCTCCTCCTTCAGTCTATCACTTTAGTTGCCTAACTGCGTTAACATATACAAAGCAAGACGTGTTTAACTTAATACGCTGCTGAATAATCGCAGGACTCATTTAAACCACCTTTGTCTTGTACTTGTGTGGGGAGCCGTCGGCCGAGCGGACAGCACGCTGGACTTGTGATCCTGTGGTTCTGGGTTCGATCCCAGGCGCCGGCGAGAAACAATGGGCAGAGTTTCTTTCACCCTATGCCCCTGTTACCTAGCAGTAAAATAGGTACCTGGGAGTTAGTCAGCTGTCACGGGCTGCTTCCTGGGGGTGGAGGCCTGGTCGAGGACCGGGCCGCGGGGACACTAAAGCCCCGAAATCATCTCAAGATAACCTCAAGAAGATACTTGTGTGAATTCAACTATAATGTTATAGAATATTCAAGTATGTGTATCAACAATTCCATGGCTTCAATGTTCTAATTAAGGAAAGTATATATTCTCTACATAAATTTAAGTCATTTCATTATAACAAGGCAGTAAGACGCTGAGAGACTCTGCTCCAGAGGAACACTGAAGCTGATTTAATTAGCGAGAGGTTAAGTAAGCAAGCAAGTAATCAAGACGGTAGACACAACTACCTCCACTACACTGTATCTGTGAGAATGTTCATGTGTGAACTTACCTAGTTGTGCTTATAGGGGTTGAGCTCTGGCTCTTTGGTCCCGCCTCTCAACTGTCAATCAACTGGTGTACAGGTTCCTGAGCCTACTGGGCTCTATCATATCTGCACTTAAAACTGTGTATGGAGTCTGCCTCCACCACATCACTGCCTAATGCATTCCATCTGTTAACTACTCTGACACTGAAAAAGTTCTTTCTAACGTCCCTGTGGCTCATTTGGGTACTCAGTTTCCACCTGTGTCCCCTTGTTCGCGTACCACCCGTGTTAAACAGTTTATCTTTATCTATCCTGTCAATTCCTCTGAGAATTTTGTAGGTAGTGATCATGTTTCCCCTTACTGTCTTCAAGTGTCGTGAGGTGCATTTCTCGCAGCCTTTCTTCGTAACTCATGCCTCTTAGTTCTGGGACAAGCCTAGTGGCATATCTCTGAACTTTTTCAAGCTTCGCCTTGTGTTTGACAAGGTACGGGCTCCATGCTGGGGCCGTATACTCCAGGATTGGTCTTACATATGTGGTATACAAGGTTCTCAATGAATCCTGTACACTTCCGAATGATTCTGTGTGTGTGTGTGTGTGTGTGTGTGTGTGTGTGTGTGTGTGTGTGTGTGTGTGTGTGTGTGTGTGTGTGTGTGTGTGTGTGTGTGTGTGTGTGCGTATGAGCATTTGTGAGGGTGTACATGCAGAGTGTACCTTTGTGTATGTATCAGCGAGTGTGAAGCTGTGTGTGTATGTACTTCCGTGCGTGTCCGATACAGACGAGAGAGAGAGAGGGAGAGAGAGAGAGAGAGAGAGAGAGAGAGAGAGAGAGAGAGAGAGAGAGAGAGAGAGAGAGAGAGAGAGAGAGAGAGAGAGAGAGAGAGAGAGAGGAGTAGAGACACAAGCAGGTACTCACCTGTACCAACAGATGCCGGCACCAATCACGCCACACACAGCTACGGCCGTACACCCAGCCACCAGAGCTGCAAGACACCAACACACGTACACCATTAATATCTCTTCAAGCTAAAATAAATATAAACAAAATTATCAACGCGCCTAAATAAACATCACAATCACGCAGCCACACACAGTTGAGAAGCACCAGACACCGGACCACCAGACACAGGACCACCAGACACCGGACCACCAGACACCGGACCACCAGACACAGGACCACCAGACACCGGACCACCAGACACAGGACCACCAGACACCGGACCACCAGACACCGGACCACCAGACACCGGACCATCAGACCCTCACCTGTGAAGTATACGTCGCTGAGATGCGGTTGGTGTCGGGCGTCTTGAATGGCGTAGCTGGCCTCCCTGGCCTCGGAGGGCGTGCGGTGTAGGTGCATATAATTCACAGACTCCGGCTGCGAGGTGGCCACTGTAAACAAAGATACACGTAACTTGTTATATATATTATATATTATATTATATATATATATATATATGTATATATATTAAGAATCGACCTAAAGTTATCCTGAAGCATTTGTTTGTAAACATCAAGGCCCTTCCCGTTTTCTTCGTGGACATGGTTCCTAGAAAGAGTAACTTGTGCATTTATAGTGCAGGGAAGCCCGACAATACAGAATTTACAAATAAATCCAATCTGTGGACCTGGAGATAATATTCTTCCTCTTTCTAGAGAATATAAGTTAAGCTTTTTGGTCTCTTCGTAAAGAAGGTTTCTAATACCTGGGATTAACATTAGCATTCTTCTGTGTATGGGTTCAAGTGAATTCGTATCCATTCTATAGTGCGGAGACCTAACCTGAACTGCGTAATCTAACTGGAGTCAAATAACGACAAATTGAAGAAAATCTTTAGATGTCTTTACGGTAATGCTTTTATATATAAATCATTATAATTATAAATTCTTATAATTATCATTATAAATCCCATTATCATATTTGCCTTATTTTGATAATTGATGCATTGATTACATGGGCTAAGATCACTACTATGACTCCTAGATCTTTCTCATATATTTCGGAATTTTAACATTTCCAGGTGATATATATATATATATATATATATATATGTACTTAAATGTGTTAATAAAAAAGAATGTGATAAAAAATTATGAGGGAGAAAGGTAAGAGAGAGAGAGAGAGAGAGAGAGAGAGAGAGAGAGAGAGAGAGAGAGAGAGAGAGAGAGAGAGAGAGAGGAGAGAGAGAGAGAGAGACAGAGACAGAGAGAGAGAGAGAGAGAGAGAGACAGAGACAGAGAAGAAAGAGAGAGAGACAGACAGAGAAGAAAGAGAGAGAGAGACAGAGACAGAGAAGAAAGAGAGAGAACATGTTAGAAAGAAAGAGAGAGAACATGTTAGAAAGAAAGTGAGAGAGAAAATCGGAGAGACAAAGAGTAAATTGACAGAAGGGAGAAAGAGCATAACTAAGTCCTACCTTTATCTTCAACCTTGTCGTTTTCTTCGTTAAGCAAATTCTTAAATTTCTCATTTTCTATCTTATCCTCTATCTCTTCCATCATCATTCGTTTACTCTCCTCCCTCTCATTATTCGTCACTTCCTCGTGCCCTACACCTTCACTATCCCTCGGGTCCTGCAGGACGTCCTCTCGCCGCCCAGAGAAGATTCCTCTGCCAGGATATGCCATACCAGGGAGGGGCAGGACTTGGGCAGGATAGCGCTCCACCTCCGGGAATCGGGGTTGGTACCGGGGTGGATAGTCCGGTTGGTACTGAGTGTCGTCATCCTGATACTGAAGGCCCTCGCCAGGAAACTCCTGCTGGGGCTGGAGGCTGAGGTCTGGGGGCAGCAAGCGGAGGAGATCTTCCTCAATGGGGCCCTCGACGTTGGGAGGAGAGATGGGGAGGTAGTAGCGTGGGTCTCGCGGGGTGACAGCGAAGTGGATCTTCTCGTCCACAGCCTGTAAACAGCAGAAGACGTTATTACACATAACCTCCTAAGACTTCGGGGGCTAAGAAGCTCACACAGCACATTCAGCACCGCTCCTGTGCCAGGTAAGTCCACTACGGGCTCACCATAGCCCGTGCTACTTGGAACTTGTTCCGAGTAGCTGAATCTATAACAACAACAACCTAAGACTGCCATCTTGCGCCTTAAAAAGAGAGATGTATAGAATGTCTGATGTAAAGAATGATAGAATGTCTGTCTATCCAGAGTAGGAGGCCAGAGGCCAGATTCACGAAGCAGTTACGCAAGTACTTAGGAATGTGTACCTCTTTCCTCAGGTTTTTGACGGCTTTGGTTACATATATTAAACAGTTTACAAGCATTAAAACTTCTGAATCAACTGTTGTTATTGTTATAAACAGCCTCCTGGTGCTTCGGAGCTCATTACTGTTTAATAATTGTAAACAAAGCCGCCAAAGTTTGAGAAAAGATGTTCAGGTTCGTAAGTGCATGCGTAACGGCTTCGTGAATCTGGCCCCAGATGCTGGACCGTGCCTCACCCAACAGAGCAAAGAAAATGGTCTAGGGGTGGAAAACAATTAACTGAATTTATTTGGGTTAGTAATAACAAATAGTAGTTATAGTGATGAATATAGTATATACAGTGAAAGAGGGCAGCTAATACTCAGCTAAGCTTTGCCTAAGAGTAGGCCTATAAATCACAAAATAACATTTGCTCAAAAATGAGTTAAGGAGAAAAAAAAAATACACTTTTGTTGAAACGCCTTTAACATCGTATATTAATTTTACGAAAGTAAAATATATATATATATATATATATATATATATATATATATATATATATATATATATATATATATATATATATATAACTTCTGGGGTGGGAGTTTTCAGTTGCACATAGTTCTGGGGACGATTCAGGCTTGCTCGCATATATATATATATATATATATATATATATATATATATATATATATATATATATATATATATATATATATGTGTGTGTGTGTGTGTGTGTGTGTGTATGTCTCACATAATCCACCGATAAATGAGCGTCTAATCCTCCAGCGACGAGGTAATCCGCTGATAATGACTGATCATTAATTATCAACTAATCCTTTGTTATTGAAATCTAATTCTAAACACAACGTAATCAATGGAACACAGCCATTTACCAATCGTTTCATCACCAATCACGGGCCTAATCCCATGTGACTAATAAGTTCATGTAAAGACGTCAGAACTAAATATGAATGATTATGGGTGCCTAGAATGACAGGAGCCCTAGTCGAGGACCGGGCCTCGGGGACGTTGAGCCCCGAAATCCTCGCAAGGAAGGTCCAGGGAACCAAACTGTCAGGTCTCCGGTCTTATGGTTGAGTACAGGCCTGCAGCTCGGGAGTCGTAGTCCAAAGGGCCCGGGTTCGATTCCCAGCCAAGGCAGAAACAAATGGGCAGAGTTAGTTCAACCAAATGCCTCTGTTCACCTAGCAGTAAATAGGTACCTGGGAGTTAGACAGCTGCAACGGGCTCAATGCTGGAGATTGTGTGTGTAGAGAGAAATGTATGCACTAGACATGATAGAGGAAGGCCTGGATGGAGACCGGGCCGTGGGGCCTCTGATCCCCGGAACCTCCTCAAGGTAGAAGAAAATAGGTCGGGAAGGGACGGGAACTATCAGGATAGAGCGCCAAGCCATTACGACTATATAGCACTTGGAAGGGGTCAGGACAGGGATTTGGGATGGGACGGAGGGAAGGAATGGTGGCCAACCACTTGGACGGTCGGGGGAACGCACTTCTAGTCAGGGAGTCAGTACATTAGACAATCGACTTTTACTAAGGCGGGTCCAAGAGCAAACAGTTATACGACAAAGAGTACTGAGAAGACGGGACACTACGAGCCTAGCTCTCATCCTGTAGCTACACGTAGGTAATTAAACTTAGGTAATTACATACGCGATCAAAATATTATGCATTTTATTTACTTCGAAGATTAATAAGATTTGATCCACCATTAAAAGTATTTACCATTTCAAGCTAAAGTTCACATTAGCATGAGACATTAGACAGTTTAAAGAAATGTGTGGGTCTGGTAATGTGCCCAGGGGGGGGGGGTTCTGGTAGAGTGCGGGGGGGGGGGTCTGGTAGAGTGCAGGTGGGGGTTCTGGTAGAATACGGGAAGGTGGGGGTAGGTCTGGTAGAGTACGGGAAGGTGGGGGTAGGTCTGGTAGAGTACGGGAAGGTGGGGGGTAGGTCTGGTAGAATGCATTTGTTAACCAAATCTACGCAGTCAATAACTCACTGCTTGGTCTACTTTAAGTAGGCTCGTATTCCATTAATAAAGTCTAATTCTCTATTATGAGGTGTTAATTGCGCGTTTAAAGGTCACATCCCCCCCCTCCCTGACGAGGTGAGAGCCTTCGCTACCAGTCTCATCATCTCCTAATGAAATCGAGTTCTTCATTAGTCACAAGATATGACCCAGTCGATCCTCTAATTGCCGCTTTAATCCTCTTTCCTTCCAGCATATCTTGAGGTTATCTTGAGATGATTTCGGGGCTTTAGTGTCCCCGCGGCCCTGGTCCTCGACCAGGCCTCCACCCCCAGGAAGCAGCCCGTGACAGCTGACTAACACCCAGGTACCTATTTACTGCTAGGTAACAGGGGCATAGGGTGAAAGAAACTCTGCCCATTGTTTCTCGCTGGCGCCTGGGATCGAACCCAGGACCACAGGATCACCAGTCCAGCGTGCTGTCCGCTCGGCCGACCGGCTCCCTCGTTTCCTCCAAGGAGTGCCGGACCAACCGGGCTGTGGTGGGTATGTGGGCCTGCGGGCCGCTCCAAGCAACAGCCTGGTGGACCAAACTCTCACAAGTCAAGTCTGGCCTCGGGCCGGGCTTGGGGAGTAGAAGAACTCCCAGAACCCCATCAACCAGGTATCAACCAGGTATCTGGATAGACCATTGGACGGGCAGTTCACTGGTAATGGCTGTTGGTACACCTACTCCAGGAGCTGCCAGGACAGATCACACACATCTTAGCACTCAGAATTCTACAGGCTAGGAGTAAGGAGAGAGTGAGAGGGGGTAGTTTTCAGGGCGTGTCGAGCGAAGGGTCACTTGACGCGGTCAATGTGAGGTCATCTAAAGCCGTCCAACCGTCTCGGTACGTTCCCGCCATCTCTAACCGACTTGTATGACAGGTTGCGATTGGCTTAGGCATGTTATCTCGTTCGTCATTGGTGTAAACACGAGCGGCGAGCGTAGACACAGACAACAAAGCAGAAACTCCCCCAGGAAAAAAACAAAGGAAATTACAAGCAGACATAACGCCACCCTTGGCCACCAGAGGGCCACCAGAGGGCCACCCTTGGCCACCAGAGGGCCACCAGAGGGCCACCAGAGGGCCATCAGGGGGCCACCCTTGGCCACCAGAGGGCCACCAGAGGGCCATCAGGGGGCCACCCTTGGCCACCAGAGGGCCACCAGAGGGCCACCAGAGGGCCATCAGGGGGCCACCCTTGGCCACCAGAGGGCCACCAGAGGGCCACCAGAGGGCCACCAGAGAGCCACCAGAGGGCCACCAGAGAGCCACCAGAGGGCCACCAGAGGGCCACCAGAGAGCCACCAGAGGGCCACCAGAGGGCCACCAGAGGGCCACCAGAGGGCCACCAGAGGGCCACCAGAGGGCCACCAGAGGGCCACATTACTAGCGCCACCACAGTGTAGAGGACGCGGGCGAACACCAGGGGTGGCCCTCAGCCCCTTACACAAGGTGGGCTTCACAGCTATGCATGTCGGGTCAGCGTTGGAATATGCACCAACAGGGAGGACATGTTCTCCAGCCAGCCAGATGAGTCGTGGGGGATGATAAGATCCAATTCATCAGTGTGAGAGAGCGATGAGGAAGCGGAATGAAGAGATCGGGGGACAGGAGTATTCTATACTCAGTTCCACAAATTAGAAAATAGATCACACTCAACCGTGCTGGTACATCTAGGTGAGTACTTCCCATGAGTGTACTCTTGCAAGTAATCTTGTAGGCAAGTGTATCACGTGAGTACCCATGCAGGTGAGTACAATTCCCAGGTGAGTACTCCTGCAAGTGAGTATCCCCAAGTGAGTACTTCCTAGCTCCAGTTGAATCCACCCACCAAGTGAGTACTCATCAGCTAGTAGAGTACCACCCCTTTGGACCAAACGAGTACAACCCATCGCCAGCTGCGAGATAGAGAACATTGGAACAACCCAGACCAGTTATGCGCAGCGCCCCCAACCAGGTCAGATATTGATGCTTCAAGAAAACATCTTACCTTCGGGCTTCTGGTAGGCAAGCCAGGGCAAGCCAAGGCAAGTCAGGGGAAGCCAGGGCAAGTCAGGGCAAGCCAGGGCAAGTCAGGGCAAGCCAGGGGAAGCCAGGGGAAGTCAGGGGAAGCCAGGGGAAGCCAGAGGAAGCCAGGGCAAGCCAGGGGGAAGGGGAGGAGGGGACGTGGGAGGGCGTGTGAGAACACAATGATGGGAGGAGGCGCGCGTGGAGTGGACTATTGGGAAGCCCAGAGAAGAGGCAATCAGCCAGGTCGACCCTGACTGACGAGCTGGACGTGTGTGTGCTGCAGGAGAGGTTCAGGGGCGTGGGTGGTCAGGGGCATGGGTGTTCAGGGGCGTGGGTGTTCAGGGGCGTGGGTATAAGGGGGCGTGGGTGGTGCTTACCGAACCTAACAAACAGTGTCTACGGAGGAGTGCGGTCTTCATGCCCCGTCAATTGCAACTTTTGCATTACAACTTCACCATTTTGACGTTTAAATTCGTTGTCGAATCTGGCTTTCATGATTGTGGATGGAGGTTACCTTGAGGTGCTTCCGGGGCTTAGCGTCCCCGCGGCCCGGTCGTCGACCAGGCCTCCTGGTGGATGGAGGTGGTTTCCGCAGCTTTTTCTTCTTCTTTCAGGGCGTTCCACTTGTTGACTACCCAGTCCATCCTCTCCAGCG